AGGAGGAAAAGAGGAAGAGTTACAATGCAACATCATCCACCCCTATGGGATCCAGACTAAAAACACCACATCAAGTCAAAAGATGTCTTCTCAGTCAAGATGAATTCCACTGTATAAAAGCAGTGTAGTATTTGAGACCCAACCATATATGGATCCCAGCAGTGGTGTCATGTTTACAAACTGTGGAGAGCACACAGTCGCTATGTTGGGTAATCCAGCAAACTGGCCTCTCATCTCACAACTAAAACAGTGACACCAGTTCTGAAAAAGCCCCTGGTCTATCACCTCCAAACAGCAGGAGGACAAAGGTGAGTTCACTCCTGTAGTAAAAGCCAGACATTTGTGGATTGATCCTTGATTTGAGGAGTCAGTCTTTTGACTATGACTCTTCTCAAGCATTTTGCCACTAACTCTCAGGGAAAGCAAAGCACTCTGCATGGCAGGTCCTGCACCCGTGGGGCACAGGAGGAAAACCCCTACTGCGTGTCTTCATACCAGATTCCTCCAAGTTATGGCAGCACCAGCTAAAAGGTTCAAACAAGGTATAGCAGCTGATTTAATAAGAAGGCAAATCCCTAGCGAGAGGGAACAGCTGAGTTCCCAATACATTTAACACAGAAATGTTCCTTAATCACACCCAGCAGAGTTGTTTGCTTGAAGCATGAGGTATACAAATGCTCTCTGAGGAGCCAGGGCTGAGTTACATGGAAATAGGCAACTGTTTCATCAGGTCATGCTTGCTGCCACTGTGGTAGAGAACACCGTGCTCTGTCCTCCTGCCCACTCCCACGGCTGTTCAACCTATGCCAGCAGCTGTTTACATTCATCCTATGTCATCTCAACAGAACCACAGATCCCTCTTCAAATAAACATGTGTCCAACAGGTACCTACATTCTTTCACTTGTAATGCCATGGTACAGTAACATCCCATAGAAGTGCTAGAAGCAGGTGTCAGTGCCAAAAAGTAAGTTCACACACAGATTATACATTTCCATGACTGATACAGTTTGATGGAAATAAACTTCCACAAAGAAGTTTCAAAGCAAAGCGTTCCTTGTTATGCATGGAGAATAATCAAGTATGAAGAGCATTTCCAGTGATGCCACACAGGGCTGTTTTCAAGAAGAATGATTCAAGTCAGCCCATTCTTTGGGATGTTGAACAGTACTGTGGGAATGGAGGTTTCTGCCACGTGGCAGTTATGAACAACCTACTGGGGGAGACCAAGAAATGTAAACTACAGGATCCTCACACAGGACTTCATGCACACATTATGTCCTCCAGGATGAGTAAATACCATCACAAAGAAAAACAACTTATCTGCCTGAGCTCACTTTTCCACTTACCCCTCTATTCTCCGGTTCAGGCCTCTGGCCTTGGGGTCGTGGTGGAGTTTTCTCTCTGGAGGAAGTAGTGAAATTAGGTCAAATGGAAGGATACATGACAGTAGCATCTGCAATAGCCTGGCTAAGAAGACAGAACAGAGTAGCTCTCACAGGGCCATGCTGCAGCAGAGCTGAGGTAGTGTGAGCGAGCAGACCCCTCAGGTTACAAACCTTCAGCATCACATCACTGAATTAAGACACTGCACTTCTGAGTAACAAAGTCCCATTACAAAGACTAGAAAGTGAGAACGTGAACATTTTATATAAACTTCTCCAGTCAGAGAACATTTACTGCAACCTGCCACTTGTAACTGATAATTAACACCCAATTCAAATTAAACTGCCAGTTAGACAAGAAATAAGGTGTGCAAGCCCAGGCCCTGAGAAAGCCAGAAGTATTTGGCAGAACTATCAGTTCGATGTCTTTTGATGACGTATTTCAAGTTATGAATCAGCACCTTGATAGTTTCATCATAAGACCTTAAACTAAATTTTCATCTTTAGTTTTCACACAAAAATAATTGCATTTAGATGTCTTACCTGGGGTCCTGCTGCCCAGTGCTACCTCTTCCATACAGAGGAATAACTTTATCTCGACTGATTCCTGCTTTGCATACAGGACACACTTGTCTGTTTGGCCTGGTCTCTAGCCACTAAAAAAAAATTATAAGAAAACTGTATAAAAGATCATGAAAACAACAACACACAAACCTCACTTGCAGCTAGGCAGAGAGATTTTGGCAATTTCTCATAAAGCTGTAGAGCAAAATATTTTAATAACTGCCAAGTACTCTCCAAGCTGGAGCTGGCATTTTGACTATTGTTCTGGAACAATCCACTTGCTGATGTGTACATACTCAGAACTGCACTGGAGGCAAATATGAAGAAATAAACAGTAGCAACAGTCCTGCACAGGCCAAGGGCTGGTATGGATACCCTCCTGGAACCACCATGTAAAACACTACATATGCAAAGATAAGTACTTTCAGCACTTAGGCCTGCACACTAAACTCCTGTGAACTGCCTACAGCAATTCTCCTGCCAAAAACCAGGCATACTCGGTGTTTAAGAACCCCAGGAGTGGGAGACAAGTGGAACAGAATCCAAGTTTCCATTCTGGAGATTGCAAGGTGTTGCACGGGAAGTTGCATTAGCAGGTTACGATTGCCCTAGAGAGAAGCAGCGTGTTTGAAAAAGAGGGGATACTCCAGAGAACCAAGGGCTTTACTGAGTAACAGGAGCTGATGAAAGACAAAGTAAAAGGAAACCTGTCTTACCTGGTGTAAACAAGGCCAACTGTGAGCATTCCCAGGACAAATTTGTTCACAAAGCAGAAAAAGAGAGGAAAATAGAATTAGTTACTAACAACTCAATCCAACAAATGTATGAGGTATACCACAGACAGCATAGCTTGGAGTCAACAGAATCCTGGAATCCAGCTGGGCCAGTTCCATAACCTCCCATTATTAAAATAATTTTTGAAAGCACAGCCCAAGCTTGATCTCCACAGGTCTTTTCAGGTTATGCAATCTAATGAAGTTGCTACTGTGATTCTCTGCATATCCCCTTTGATTCCTGGGTACTCATCCACACCAAAGGCCCATACAGAGGTTTAATTAATCTCAGTGTTTACTGTAGAGATTTTCTCCACTGCTACCATGGAAAGATATCTCTGATCCAAGATGCAAATGAGGTAGATGTCAGCAACAAAACTTCAGGACCTTAAAAGAAGTCATGCAAGGGACTTCTAGCTAAAACATTGGCCACATTCACAGAATCATGGAATAATTCAAACTGCATGGTACCTTAAGTGGCCTCCAGTCTAACCTGATGCTCAGAGCAGGGTAAGCTACTGCGATCAGACCCAGTTGCTCAGGGCAGAGAAATCCCTATTATACAGAACTACTCTTAAGATTAAATTAACATGGCAATTTAAAAAAGGTCAAAGGCAAACAAGCAAGCTACGAGATAAGACCTGTAAGGAACCATCTGCTTTCAAAGTGATCTTGACAACACTATTCAGAGGAGATATATGCTATTTTTTAAGGTTCCATTCTTCCAAATCCTTTTGTGTAATAATTTAATCTAATTTTATCTTAACATGCCATCAGCAAGTGATTTTCCATTTTGTCCTAGAATAAAACCTGGGATTTTCAGATGTTATATACATTTACACAGAAAATAAATCCTCTTTTAGTCCTCTTATTTAATAAAAAAGTAGAATTTAGACTAATGTGTAAAATCAACCAATCCCAAAACAAATAAACCAACATTTGGCCATGTCCTTAATAACTTCTTAACATCCAAGAATGAGTATATTCTAGACCAAGTTACCCAAATAAAAAACGCTTCATTGTATTCATGTGATATATTCCTAAGTCAGGTCAAAGAACTGAAAAGTTAGCATGACAACTGCAGTACCGTGGAAGAACAGAAATAGCCCACATGAAAAAGCTTGATATCAAACAATTTTTTTACGGTTTCAAAGGGAAAAAGAGCAAGCCTGTAGGAAGTATGAAACATACAATTTGGTCTCCAGAACACAATTTCAGATGTAGGTTTAGGTAATTGAAGAAAAGAAAGGAATTTATTCTGAACAAGATTTCTATGCTAGCCCAGACAGTACAAATAAAATAACACAAATAAGCAAGCAGTGTCAATCAACATCAAACTGTCTACGGGGGGCTGCTTGCTTGTTTGCTTTTATAAAATAATCCAGAGGTACAAGAAGTTTAAGATGCAAGAAACCCAGTCCCAGGAACAGAAGCAAAGCAGAACAGTTGGGGAGCAAAACAAAACCCACGGTCCTTATTCATTTTATACAATACATTCTATTGAACATCTAGAATTATAAAACCCATAGGCTTTTAGGTGATCCGAGAGATATACGGTGTCCTGCTTTATCTGTGTGGGTTGAGTACTTACCAGAAGAGATGTCCACACAGGCTGATAACTGCATCCTTGGCAGTGTCTAAACAGATGTTACATTCAAAAGTGTTGTCCTGATTAGCACTGTCCCCAGCACCATTACTGCTACTGCTGCCACTGGTCCCTCCAGTACTGGAGTTCTTCGTTGATGCAGAAGTTGTGGGTCCTTTGCTTGCCATCCTCAAGAACTACCCAGATACAAAATCAAAAATATTTTCTTGTTGGAATCCTAGCACTGAGAAAGGGGAAAAAAAAAACAACCCCAGACAACTTCTTGGCATTGTAACGTTGCATTCTAGTGCTGTTCCAAACTGGTAGTCAGCTACCTAAGAAGCACTTGAATCCTATTGTTGATGGTTTTAGTTTAACATAGCCAAGAGAGATCTTTTTTTAGAAACTAAGCTACTTTAAAGTCCTGTAGTATGACCTGGCTGATATGTGACCTATATTTTAACGTTACTGACAAGCAACTGAGATCCACAGCCAAAACAAAACCACTCTATTTTCTCATAAATACCATTTCCTATGAGAAGAATGAGCTCACCTAGTCATACACACTCTTAAAAAAAAAAAAAATCAATGCAAGTTATAACTGGCAGTGCAGACTGAAATAGGATTTAATCATAAAGCAATTCAGTCTGGACAGACTGACAATGCACAGTTTTAAGTTCAATGTTCATTAGTTCAGAATATTAATTATAATAGTGGCAAGCAAAGGTGGCTTAGTACTTGGTTTGTCTCATCAGCAGTATGTTGCTGCTGTCACAGCAGTGTGTTGATATGACTATCAAACATTTCTAATCTAGTAGTAATGAAGTAGTAAAAAGTTTACTTAAACATGCTTTAAGTTTACTTACATATTTTTACCTCTCATTAACATCATATTTATCAAAGAACATGATATATTTCATTTCACTAGCAACAACCTCTACAGTCTAATTCCTTAATATGGAAATTCCACACTACCTAGAACTTTTGACACTCAGCACAAAACATTCACATTTCCAGAAGCAAACACTTTAACCAATACAAGTTACAAGAACTAATAGAATTTCAGCAGTTACAGAAATTAATTCACCAAACCAAAAATGTTTAAAATATTGCACTGCGCTTTTCATGAAAGTCTGACATCATGTTGCTGCTGCAGGGATATGAATACTCAGATTAAGGCTGTGAGACAGGAACAGGTGATTATCTGAACTTTTTGTGAGCGTACAAATAATTAAACATTTTAAAAGGGCAACCTGATATTTTCAGAAGCTAATTTCTTTGCAAACTTACCCCAGAAGCATTAAAGGCTTTCCTTAGCGTTCCCTCTTTGTAGCAGTGCTGAAGCACAGATGCAGAGCAGCAAAATAAAACCTCTAGCTGTTGTTGTCAACAGCTTTGTTCATACAATATAATCCCACTGCACAGTTAAGGAAGCATCATACTCAAGCCTCATGAAGGTATCAGAGTGATGACACTCAGTTACAGCAAGTGGAATGTATTTTTGCAGAGCTTTTTCGTTCAGTTACATCATTTTGCACAGTGTCCCAGAAGGGTGGCTTTGTATTTGCAGATGCTGTAGCTTAACATACGCTGGTTTCAGCACTGCTGACTCTCAGCATTTCACACCATGACTTCATTTACACTCAGCAGCAACACAATTCATTGTACAAAATCAGAACTGATGTTAGTTCATGGCAGATGGCAAAGCTGCCAGCCCACAAACTACATGCTAAAGGCACCTGGGTTTTTCACACATCCTTACTAACACAATCTTCAGCCTATCTTGCTCAATAGTTTAATGTTTGAAAACTTACAAACTTGGACCTATACATTTTTGCTGGGAATTAATATCAACATGAAGAAAACAAAAAACCCTAAGGATTTTGACATATTGTAAAAACACTAGCATAATTTTATGGAATGGGCATAAGAAATATCTGGCTCTTAAATCTTGGCTTATAACACAAGGAAAACATGTAGAAGAGGCAAATCAGTGAATTTCTGTGTCCCTAAAACCAATGCGGGAAAAAAAGCTTCTTTTTTCCCAAATCACATGCCATATATTTAACACCAGAAATCTGGAAACTCATCACAAAGGTAAAATCTGGATCTTCACAAACACCTGCCTAAAAACCTCTTAGCTTTCAGTAACTTTGAAAAATAAATAAATCATTACATTCTGAAGAAGGGTGATAGAGAAATCTGTAGGAATACCAGCAATATAATGGAATAAAGATGGCTGAGACAGAAGATAGATCTACGATGTAACCCAACAGGCACTGAAGCTACTCTCCTAGAAAAAGGTCATTCCTTAGTCTGTACTGGGATACTCTTCTAATTATTCTCTATAGGTCGATTGAGCCTGATGACGTATTAGGATATAACCAATTGAAAATATCAAAAATATATCAAACCACAACAATAAAAATACTCAATCTTATTCTGAAAAGCCTTCTCAAGCATTTGTTCTTGTTCATGGAGTAATGTTTAACATAATGAAGCCTGTAACAAATGCTGCTTGGGTCTGTTCACCTGCAAATCATGCTGCACACACATGAAGAGGCCAGCAAGAAACGGCACCCACTGACTGAACTACCCCTGAGAATCACATATTGCATCACTTGTGAGTACAGTCTGTGATTCCTATGGGAGAAGTTCAGCTGAAAATTCAACTGCTCAAAATATTGCAATGTCTATTCAACGATGTAAACTCTTGAGACAAAACTTTTTAGGGGAAAACAAACCAACCAACCACAAATTTAAAAATCAACAAGTAGAACAACTATTTTCATTTTGAGTTCAGAATGAAGACTGTCAGTACACTGAGGTGTAACATGACCTTTGGGATTAAGTAAACAGAATTTAGAGATGCAGGTCCAGGTTTGCTAAACCCTTGTCCTTTAGACCAGGTCTCTAAATCAGCCCTAGACACATGATGAGTAGCAAACAAAACAAGTGAAAGGATATAAAAATCAGTGGTGATCTGACTGCAAGCACTCAAAAATTTTACCTTTTTTCACTTTTTTCCTTCTTTGCTCTCTAGATATTTACAGGAAAACAGTGTATTTGTTATTTAAAAGCCATCTATTATCAGATAGCTTAAAAGCTATTATTTCCTGTGGTATCCCAACAGGTGTTCTGAAAATGACTGAATCACTGACATTTACTACATCCAAAAATTAAGACTGGCAACAGATGAATGGATAAAAACCAAAGAACCCATTTTCAAGTAGTCTTCATAAAGAAAAAAAGTCTGGTGGAGCATGAAGAAGACATGGAAGCGAAGATACATGTTTATAATTTAGCACAAATCTCACAGAAGATAAGCATGGCTGAACGAGCTGGTGAAACTCGACCTCCGAGAAGCAGATGGCACACTAGGACCTGAAAGCTTCATGACAACTGAGAGCACAGGAGATCCATGAAAGAGGTAAGTGAGAAAAACTGGTAAAGTCTATGTACTGTGTATAAATAACTTGTAGAAATCTCACAATCAGGCATTAAGAAAGAAATTTTACTCAAATGTTTTAAAAACTAAATGTATAAATCTAGGGGGAGAAACTGCACACCAGGAAAATACGAGCCTAGTGGCTACTGTCAAAGATCCCATTTCTGAACTCCACAAATGAAAAATGACTGCATTTGCCAAAGTACACTGACCTGATTCTAAAAGTACAAGAGAAACACTTTAAGACAGACTGAAAAAATTTCTACCGTAAGTTAAAGCATACAAAGAAATCCACGGGAAACACAGCAGGTGAACAATAATTCCCTCTGAGAAGACAGAGAGGGAATATAAATTAGAAGCTAAAGTCATCTGTATGAAAGGGCTCTAGGATCCATGTTCACAGCCCTACAACATTGCGATGTTTGAAGTATTTACTTTTTAAACATCTTTCATCAACAATGAGAAAAATTTCTGGTGAGAATACAGGACTGGCTCGTTTATTAATAAAACCGAAAGTTTATCCCTCTTTGCACTAAAACCTAACAACAAAATAAAAAGAATAGCACTGTTGGATGCAAAATCCCACTAGAAAGACAATTTCCCATTTATCTTTTGCAGTGAATCTTATTTTATCTAGGATTACTGAAATTGAAACGATCCAAATCTATCTTGTTTCTGAAATAAATTCCGATTTAGTTTCTGAACTTCTTGCTGTTTAAATCAAAAGGATAAATTGTCAAGTTATTTTTATTATGTGTCTGAACATATTCAGATACACGTGACAAATTTTATAAACATTAGAAATACTATCTAAATCTACAAATATTACTCAAGAGTTTATACAAATATGCCCACTCGTGAGTTTAACAAAAAGCTCATTCTTAATCTATTACAAATTCCTGGACTTCAAGTAAAACTAACCAGTAACCTAAGTTGATAATTGTTGACAGTGCATAGAAGAAAGTACATTTACTTCTTGGCTTTTAGATATTCTTACCAAATACATGACTTGAGTCCTACTGTTAATCATTAAATACACATTTATCTGTCACTACCTTTCCAGTCTATCCTGTCTCCCAAACATGTTATATTTTAACACCTCAGAAACATTTTTTGAGCTCATCTTTTCACCTTCTGTAACCTGTACAGCATTATGTACCCACTTTTTAGTATTACGATGAAGTGGTCTCAACATACAAATTTGTGTGACCGCTTGGTCTTGCAAAATCAGCCGTTTGCCTTACAGACCAACATGCCCTTGCCTGGCCTCATTTCATTAATTGGGTTTCTGCAAGGTACGTCTGCGTTACAGTTGCTGCTTCCAGTGTAAGAGCCCTGCCAAAAGGCTCTTTTGGCAACTCTGAGAATTAGATACACCTCACAAATGCAAAACATTGGTACAAATGGTAAAAAAAACCCAAGTGATTATTCTTTTTTTTTTTTTAACTATTCCATAAAAGTGTAACACAGACTCAAAGAAAATGTTGCGCAAATCCTTAGACAAAGATTTTATCCTCTTACCTCCTAAAGTCCGAAGGAGAAAAAA